TTTCCATGTAGAAATTTGGTCTAAAATACATAAGGCGTAAGTGGGTGGGAGGCATGATTCCTTTTCTTGGTTTCAGCTGGACAAGGACAGAGTTTCCCATGCTATGCCTTCCCACCTGAACAATGGATGGGAATTCTCTGCTCTTTCTTTTCTTGTCAGTTTCCCTCTTCATTCCTCTTCATGAATAATTTGGCAACCACTTTAGATGAGTGCCACCAGGTGTCAACTGAAATTAGCAATTAACCTGACCTTGGTGACCTGTGTGGGAACAGTTTCAGGGACATGGTGAAGGCAGAAGCCACAATGCAGTGAACTGAATAGCATGAATGGTTGAGTCAATAATGTCTGCAGAGTGAGTGCATGGGCTCTGGATCTGGACCACCCAACTTCAAAGCCAAACTCTACCTCTCATTACCTGTTGATGGTGAGCAGTTCACTAAATCTCTCTCTCTCTCTATCTCCTCTTCTACAAAATAGAAATAAAAATAGAACTATCTCAAGGTTGTTATGAGGAGTAAATGAGTTCAAGTGGGTGAAATGCTTAGAACAGTGCCAGTTCCCTTACCAGTTCTTAGTAAATACTAGCTATGGTTTTTGATGAGTATGCAAAGACAAACTGCGACTACTTTTGAGGCTTGGCTATGAAAACTGGAGAGCAAATGAGATCATAGTGAGATGTTGGGCAGAGATTAGGAAGTTTATTCCAGGTAGGTGAAAGATCAATATTTTCTATGCTGGAGAAAAAGAAATGGCTCTCAGAGGGTGACAGTTTGAAGATACAGAAAAGAGAGAGATTAATTGATGGGATACTATTACTGAGAAGATGAGGGAGGTTGGAACTCAGAGAAGAGGTAGTAGATGGATGGAGGAACCGCGGAGAGGAAGGACTTCTTGTTTTCTAAGGCAGGGGCTGGGGGGGTAATAAGGAGGGGCAAAGCTAAGGATGTGTATCTTTGTGGGTGAGGAGCAGAAAGTTGAAGGTGGTCAGGACGAATTAAGCCGTTTTCTTTGTGAGGTAGGAACAGGCTCATCTGGTGGGAGAAAAAAGGTGGCAGAAGTGAGGAATGGCAAAAGACTGATAAATGAAGGAGCTACATAGTAGCAACTTCCAGAAACAAGATGACACTGGCCAGAATGTAGAGTTTGACAAAAAGAAGTAAGAATTCTGGTATGATAAGAAATTGTGCTCACAAAGGGAGAGATTGGTGTTTGCTTCCATAGATGGAACACTTTTAAGTGATGAGAAGTCTAAGGTGAACCATTTGAAAATTGTTTTGGTCTACAGTGCAAAGTTAGAATTTAAAATGATTCTTTAAAAAAAAAAAAAGATTCTTTACCACAAATCAATGATTGATTATATTCATACTCATCTTGATTTTTTTGAATCACCTTTCTTTTCCTCTCTATAAATTTGCAATGGCATTGAAAGGTAGACTCTTAGAGTTGGATTAGATCCTATCCCTATACCACCCCATCTGTCCTTGAATATACTTATAGATGGAAAACTTACTTTTTATAGAGCTTATCATTCTATTTTGGGGTAGACTGAATATCCATTAATACTGAAACTTAAGTGCTAGAATATGGATTTTACCTTCTTGTGATGGTCACACAAAAAAGCTCTCCCATCCTACATGCCCGTCCGCAATGTTATTTTGTGACTTTTCCCGTCAAGAGGTGGAGTGGATCCCCTTCCCTTGAACTGAGGTTGACTTGTGAGTTGCTTTGACCAGGATGAGGCAAAAGGGACACACCATGACTTTCATGCCTAAGCCTTAAGGGACTGCAGTTTCCATATTTGCTCTCTTGGAATCCTGAGCTACCAAGTACAAAAGCCCAACTTCCCTGACCAGCTGGAGAGAGAGGCCAGGTGGACAGAGGCTCCCGGGGGTTTGCAAGAGCACAAGAGAGAGAGGCTCAGAAAGCCCCATGTGGTTCAGCAACCCAGCAGAATCACCGGACATGTCAGTAAGGCCAGCCTGATGCCTGCAGCCCCTGGTCAAGTTGCTGCAGCCATTACACACAAAGCAGAGACAAGCCATTGCCACGGAACCCTCCCACGTTGCAGAATTGTGAGCCGATAAATAGTGGTTGTTGCTTTAAGCCTCTGAGTTTTGAGAGCTTTATTATGCTGCAATAGGATGCGAAGAGGAAGAGTCTCTAGGCAGGGAGACAAATGAAAAGACCTTGAAAGGAATCCAGGTGTCAGGTGATGAGCTGACAAGTACAGAAAGAGACATGACGTAAGACATGGGAGAAGAGTGGGTGGCAAGGTTCCATGTGACCCAGTGATTGGATGGAGGGCAAAGGAGAAAGCGCAAGAAAAGATTTTATGAAGCTCTGTCTGGGATCTAGTGTTGTACGGACAGCAATATGTCTAGATAAAGAGCTGGAGTTTTGAGGAAGAAAAGTCCAGTTTACAGTTGTTATTTTTTGATGTGACAGCACAACTTCCATGTAAAAATGCTCCCTTAGCAGTTCAAGACACAAGCCTGAAGCTGAGGGCTGCATGAAGCCAGAGCTGTTAGAGGTTTCAAACAAAAAGCTGCCACCTACTCTCCTACCCTTTTGATCCAGCCTAAAGGCTGCTCTCCTTTCTCCCGTAAAAGGTAGGTAGAGACATCAAGCAAAGGTGGTGTGCAGAAAGAAAGGAGAGGGAGAAGCCTCGAGTGAGAGAAAAAGGCCCGGTGCCGTCCTGTGGGATTGCACCTTATTTTAGTTACGTCTCTTGGAAGGTTGCATTGCTTCAGTAAACATAAGGAACGCAACATACACACTCAACTAAAATTACCACCTTTCAAAAGTTCTTCCTTTAAATAGCCCCAAATGAAAATGCAAAAATGCAAAACCCTAACCTCAGCTTTTTAAATCACAATGAAAGGACAAGAGATGCTTTCCTTTTATGGGTTCTTAAGCCTTCAGAAAGGGTACTTTTGTGTGTTGAGCAGGATGGCGGTGTCTGTGTGTGGAGGCGACCAGCCCAGAATGCTGAGGTGAGGAGGTTTCATTTAGCAGCCGTGCTGTGACTTGCCATGTTGTGCAATATTTATTTATTTTTTTAAAAAATAAGCCTAAAATTGAAACAGTCTCTCTTCTAAGGGGTACAGGACAGGGTAGGGATCCTCCAGGATCCTGTCAAGATTACACGCTCATGCTGTGCCGTCAGCTAGAACTGAGCGCAAATCCTTGTCCCGCCACTGACTATCCCGGACACCTTGGACATGCTATTAACCCCCCTGAGCCTCAGTCACTTCAGCTGTAGAATGGAGAGAACACTGTCTCCCTCGTGGCATAATTCTGAAGTGTCTTTGAATGAGATACTGTATGCAAAGCACTCAATCTAGTGAAGGTGCAGTAAGTGGTAGCTATGGTCACCCAAATTTGTGGTAATTTGGGGCTTTTCTACATTTGGCCAGTGGTTGAGATGACTTCTCAAGAATATTTACAATAGAAGAAAATGGATCTGACTGCATCTTAGTCAATGCTTTAAAGGTAACAAATGTTTAATATTATATAACAACAGGTCATTTTATAGTTTGTAAGTGTCATGAAGATTTCCTTCCTGGGGACAAATTCGGTTGTTTCACAGAATCTTTGTGAATCTTCAGGCAAACCAAAATTAACATGCTGGTTCGTTCTTATTTCATTATTCATAATTTTAGATGTAAGAAAATAAACAATGTTCGAATGTAGGATTCAGCAAACTTTTTCTGCAAAGGACCAGAGAGTAAATATTTTAGCCTTGCAGGTCACATATGATCTGTCACATATTCTTCTTTAACTTTTTACAACCCTTTGAAAATGTTCAGATCAGGCACACCTGGGTGGCTCAGTCGGTTAAGTGTCTGCCTTCAGCCCAGGTCATGATCCCAGGGTCCTGGGATCCAGTCCCTCATGGGGCTCCTTGCTCCGCAGGAAACCTGCTTCTCCCTCTGCCTTCCACTCCCCCTGCTTGTGCGTGCATGCTCTCTCTCTCTCTCTCTGACAAATAAATAAATAAAATCTTTTAAAAAAAATGTTCAAACCATTCTTAGCTCATATGAAAACAGGCCAGTGCTTGAATGTGACCCACAGGCTATAGTCGGCAGACATTTGCTCTAGTGTAAATTTGTATTATTTATTACTAGGGTACTTCTGCCAGTAAGTATTGAAATAAAGAGAATGAGAAAATACATTAAGTAAATAACATGTAAGTGATTCTGATTCTGATTTGGACATATGGGCTGGGCTCAAGTAAGACCATTGATGGCTTCCCTTATTGGCATAGGACCATTTTCACTAAGACATAAAGAGGTTGGTATGATTTTGAGGACTGGGGACCATTCAGCACATTAGTTTTAACCAACATCCCTGTGCTTTTCTTTCTCTTTTTCACAGAAGAGCAGTTTGGATACAGGCTTTATAGCATCAGATGCAAACTGCCATTAAAACCCTAAACTGAAAATTGTGTTGCCCCTTATGAAAATGAACAGCTAGCTGGTCAGCCCCAGACCACTGGCTGCCTCAGATCTATTTGTGTTGTGTACAAGTAGCTAGAGCCTCCTTTCACGATAAGAGTTTTTGAGGCATTTGTAAATCCTCCATTGGGAGGGAAATCCTTGCCAGCAGTTAGTGATCCCTTTCAGGGCCTGCCCTGCCTTAGCTTCTGTCTTTCTGTGGACCTGGGAGAGAAATATTCTCCTGGAAGACATGATCTAGGACTGTCTTGATCTTTTCTTTTTTTTTTTTTTATGTCCCATTTTGGCCTTTATTAATAAAAGAGAAAACTAAACTCAAGGCAACTGCTTTGTTCTTGCATCTGATCTGACCATATACAGAAGTGTTCTCTTTATAAGCACTTAACTTTCAGTATACAGACAGGTTCCATCAAAAGTGGGATATTGTAATATCTAATAAGGTTAGGTAAGTGAAATTAAAAGGAGAACAAATTAAATATGAAAAATCACAGAAATCTCCCCCTCAAATATCAGGGGCTTTCCTATGACAGTCTTCAATGTGCTCATCGAGATCAATCATATTGCACAACCCCCAAAGGAAAAAACGGAGGGAACTCATGGGTAATTCTCACAGCTTCATTGTATAGTCCAAGATCAAAAGGATGGTTATCTTCTTTAAAATGGACAAATGATGCACACATAATGGTTGCCTTGGCCGTTACTCTCCCAACTACTTCCACGATTCCAGAGATTTCTTCTTCAAGGGGCTCCATCAACTCAATTGTTCCATTTTTGCCTTCTCCATCTGAAAGAATAAACATTTTTCCAGTAGGATGAATCTTTTCCAGCCTCCCTACGAAGCAGACCGGCCGGTCGATGAACTGAGCTAGCATGCTGGCGTTGACGCGCGACCTGGGCAACTCCATGACATCCACCATGGTTGCGGTGATCTTTTCTTTTCTGACCTGGTCTCAAGAAGCTTCCCTGGAGATCCCTGTAGAGTGTCTTTTTTCCTCTTTGCTCCATTTTCCTGACTTTCCCTTTATTTTTCCATGATGACAGGCATAAAGAAAAAGGAGAAATCATTTTAAAGTATACAGTACCCCCAAATATTTATCCCTGCACATGCTGAGAGCAAACCGCATTCTTATCTTATAATCCGGCATGTTTTTGTTATCCTATATTTTATGTTTAAAGAGGCAGATGGAATCAAGACCGAGGATCTGAGTCTTCCAATCCTGCCCTCAGCCATTTCCCTGCCTCCCTGAGAACACGAGGTCAGGCAAAGGGACACCTTGGCTGAGGTCCTGGCCTCATGCCTTAATGCGATCATCTGTGAGCCAGGCTAGACCAGGTGAATTCCTTTTAGGTGGGTTGATCTTAGTATAACACAGAGTCTGGAGGAAATTAAAGCAAACAGCTTCCTTTGTACCTTTCACCCTCAGCCTACATTGGAGTCTGGCCTTTGGCACCTCACCCATCCAGGCAGGGAGAGAAGGTTAGTTCAAGAAGAGCACATTCGTCAGGGAAGCAAAGCAGCTCAAGACCAAGAGGGCCCGAGCACATTTGTCGCGTTTCCTAGGGCAGAGCTTGCCTGGTCTACCCCTCCCAGCCTTCTTGGGGCTCTATGCTCCAGGCGCTCTCAGGGTAAGAGCTGCACCAAGGGAGAGAGCACCCTCCAGCCTCCATTCACAGCTTATTCAGTCATTCACCCACCCAACACAGATGTACTGAGTAGCTATCATGTGCCAGAAGCTCTTCTAACTACTGGAGACAAAGCAGTGAGTGTGAGAGACAAAGCCTCTGATCATTTTACTCCATTCCTTGTTTGGAAGATACCATCCTTTCATGGACACTTCCCTTGATCACTTGCATTCGGTATTGTGAGAACTGGCTTATGACCATGGAAAATGTCTTTGAACCAGTCTAAGCCCTAGTGTGGCCCTTTCTGGAAGGGTAGGGAGGGAGGAGTGGTGAAGGGGAGGCTGTGAGCTTCTGTCTGCAGGACCTGTGTCTTCATAGGGATAGCGGTCTCTCCTTCCTATCTCCCTCAGGGGATCAAGAAGATGTGCAATCCTGTTTCATCTCCTAACGTCATCTCATTCTAATCTGTTTGCCTGGTCTTGGGCTCACTTCCCTTTAGCCTACGTGAGGATCTTTAAGTCTCAGCTTACTTAGGCCCAGGGCTGTTACACGCACGTTGCAGGCACCATCTTTTTGATGTAATGCAGTCAAAGGGCCTTATGTGTGGGGCAAAGAAGTTCCTTTGCTGGCTGTAGACCACCTGTCCTGAGCTCTTACAGACATATCCTTTTCTGTTTTCTGTAGTCCCTTCTGGTTTATTTTCTGAGGAAACTCTTTTGAGTCTCAGGCTGAAGCAATGTTTGTCCTGTGTTTGATGTATCCAGGCTTTTCCTTTCTGAATGATCTACTGTAGGTAGTTTCTAGGGAAACTTCATTCCTCACTGAAGTCGGATTCCTTGTCATATAGGCAGGCCCACTATCTCTAACCACTATTCAGACAGAGAACAGGCTTTTATTACCTGCAAGACAAAATGATGTTATTCCTGTTCTAAAATCAATACACTACCAGTACCATTACCTTTTCCAGTCCTGTACCTCTAGATTGTTTTCTCTGGTTGACCTTCTTCTTCCCACAGTCAGACTTGGGCTCCAGCCCTTCCTGCAGAATGCCCTCCTCAGCACAGTATCAATAGGCTAAAAATAGTATTCTGGAGACATACAGAAAAACTGAAATACTATCCACTCGATATATATCTCTACATCCCTAGGAGAGGTTACTCTAGGAAGTAAATTTGGGGGGGCAGGAGGGTCATTGAAATGTAGAGACAAACAAAATCAACCTTCTTCTCTTTTCCCCAAACCTCACCTAGCCTCATACAGTCCAGCAAGTTTCTGGCTACTCAACATTGGTTTCCTCTTGGCCTGTAAAGACTCCCCTAGGTATCTTTGTGTCAACCTCTTATTACCCAAATTTATTGCTTTACTGGTCAATCCACTTTTTAAAATTCACATTTTTTTAAATATAACATACTGACCTAAAAGTAGTAAAGTTGTCTGTAGTTCCTGGTTAATAAAAGCAACAAAATTGACAGTTCCCATGTCTGTAATTAAATTTGTGAAACTAACAAATGGACATAATATGAAAGATTTTCTTTACCGGTCATGTTGTGACACCAGTTTGTATTAAATAATGAGAGTGAGAACTTAGAGGATTTGCTTTTCATTGTGGTGGAAATTAACATACACTTACTGATCTGCAATAGATTTGCATAAGAGTTACCACTACCAATAATCATTTAGAATTCATTTTACTCAGATAAATTGGAGTCTCCAGTGATAACAAATAGGACTTATCTTCCTCATTCCTGAAGAAAGATTAAAATAATAGCTGTTTAGTATAACTGGATCTTGGGATTGGACACACCTTATACATGTAGCTTTTTATATCTGCTCTTAAGTTTTAAGTGTAAACATGAATTAATGCTACATGAAACTAAGAAAATAAGACAGAGTGTAAAGATGATGATGGCTAGGCTAAAGTCAGGAAATCATAGATTTGAAAGGCACCAAACTGTCACCCAGTCCATTCCTCTGCACGAGATACAAGTACTTCTAGCTGCTGTCATACTTAATGATCTCTGAGAAAGAAAGAAGAAAAAGATCCTTCAGACATCAGCTTTAGGAATATCTTCACACTTTCCCAAATACTAGCCCCTCAAAATCTCTTTGTAGAAACCAATTTTTGTCTATGTATATAGCTTAAAATAACATATTTGTTAGAGAGGATAGAGGTGAGGACAACAGGTAACCACTATCCCATTTTATTATCCTGCAAATATGGTATATAACAATAATATCAACTGCAATCAAAACACCATATATTAAATGGGGTTTTTTTTAAGATTTATTTATTTATTTATTTGCGAGAGAGTGCATATGCACATGAGCGGGGTTGGGGGTGGGTTGCAGAGGAAGAAGGGGAGAAATCCTTAAGCAGACTCCCCACTGAGCATGGAGCTCCACAAGGGGCTCATTCCAGGATCCCAAGATCATGACCTGAGCCAAAATCAAGAGTTGGTCGCTTAACTGACTGAGCCACCCAGGTACCCCCATATGTTGAATGTTTAAATAGGTTTGAGTCCTTTAAAAAAAAAAAGCATTATTCTGTTAATAGTACCCATTGTTATTATCCATAAAGAAATAGAGACTTAAAGAAGATAAGTAATTTACCCAGTTTCACAATTTGTAAGGGACAAAATGAGAATTCAGATCGTTTATTCCAAAACTTCACTTGTACCCTTCCTGATTCTGCAACATCATACAATGAACTACTGTGAATCTATTCACGTGCTATAAATCTATGGAAAAACAATTCTAGTGAGGTCCCCTGTGAGTTTTCTTATCTCTGGATTTACTTTCAATTTCTAACATTTTGCCATAGTGTCATATTCTAATATTAGTCACTAACAGAGGTGTATGGCAGACTGTTATTTTAAATCCACATACATCAAGAAAATAGGCCTAATTGGAGGAAATTAAGGTGGTTGCAATTTCCTGATGATTAAGCACAAAAATATGTTACTAGAGGAAGCTGTAGAATTTTCTGTTCTGAAAATCTGAAAAAGAAAAGCACAAATAAGGTTTGAACAAACTCTAATTTGAACACCCATTTCCTGATTTTATAAAATGAATGGTTTAGAGTAGGTGATCTCCCTCGGGCCTGCCCCAGCCCTCACATCCCACAAGTTTGTAACTTTGGTAGAGATTGGATGTTTCAACCTTTCAAGGTCTTTTTTAGACTTCTATTTTTATGTTTGAATGATTTTTGACTCTTTGGTTCAGCTTCACATTCTGGAGTCTCTTTCAAATGGAGATCTCATAAGAGCTATTATTTAACAGTATCCCAAATGCATGATGTACAGAATTAAATACAACTGTGCATTTAGGACTTCAACAATCATAGTTCATTATTACTGTGTGTTTGTTCTCCTATTTGATTAAGGTTAAACAACAAGACCATATTTCCTATTGGGTAGCATTTTAAAGTGTATTATGTATGTGACAGATGGGATCTTATAAATGCATTAAGCATGCTTATTTTAATATCTAAGCATATGCAAAAGTTCTAGAAATATTTTACATGCAAATGTGTGGGACTCTGCAAGGGCCTATAATAGAAATCCATACTCTGTGACTTCAAAGCTTTAGTCTCGACAACTAATCACTTGGCTATTTCCAAATCAAATTTCTTCAAACAAATCAAAGGCATTTGTCCTACCCAAGAACCAAGTTCTGTGGCAAGTTTGACATTTGAAAATCAAGCTGCTTATTGAGATATTCATGCACTGAAAAAGGCACCCTGAATTTCTTTCAAGGGCTGAGAAATACCTTTTTTCATGCTCCAGTGACTCAGAAATTTGTCAAAGAGAATTTTATCAAATTTCCTTCACACACACACACAAAACTCACCTTTACGGTAAGAGCCAGCTTTCAGAATTTCAGCCCAAGAGGTCCTTCATTTTCTGAAAGGTTATGAGCCCCTGAGATTTCCCTTCTTTCAGAGTCATAATCTCTGTGTTGGTTCTGAGTTGTTAACAATAACATTGATTAAGAGGAGAAAAAAGGAGGAGACATTCCACATACCAATATTAAATGGCTTCACAGAGTAGGAATATTTTAAACACCACAGCATCTGTGGTAAGTAGAATAAAGTGCCCAATCTCCTAGGGAGCAAGCAGAAAAAAACAAAGAAGAGAATGATAAATAACTAACCTTTCTGCAGGGCTTCCTACATGCAAAGAACTGTGCTAGTTTTTTCACACACATTGTTTCATTTAATCTACCCAACCGCTTTCCAAGGAGGGGTTTTACTATAGCATTTTTTACCCATGAGGAACCTGAGGTTCAGAGAAATGAAA